ACCCCTGGGGAAAAAATTTTTTTTTAAGGAAAATGTTTGGGGTATTTTTTTTTTTTTTTTTTTTTTTTTTGCAGCAGCAGCAGGGGCAGAGAAGCAGGTCAGTGTTAATAGGAATATGGATTCAGCTAAATACATGGCAATCCTGAAATAAAAACTGTTAGAGGCTGTAGAAGACCGGGGAGGAGATTTAACTAGCAGGATAATCATACCACCAAGGGTACAATTACATGGCTTATATCAAAGTGTATTTGCAAATCTAATGAGGAATCTTGCTGCAATTCCTAAAGAAATGCTGTGTGCAGATCCTCTCCACCCACTCAGATGGAGCTACAGTTGTTTTGCAAAGACGTGTTTGCAAAAAATTTCAGGTCCCCGGTGTATGGATCTGGAGAGTCATACCCCAAAACACTTGCAGCTACTAAGCATCAACTCAGAGGCACTGAATACAAATACACACTCAACTCTTTCAGATTTTCAATAATGTTTTTAGAACCAATTATAATCTACTGAAGTTATGTGATGCTTTGTGTTGGTCTTCCACGTGAACAAAATGCAACGGGATTTCTTGTTATGTGATAAAATATGTGAACACTGTTAAGTAAGCCACCTGGCCACTTTTCTCCGTTTGTTAGTGCAGCACTGTGATGTTCTGGTCCAATTTATTATGTAAACATCAAGCTGGGGTCCTAAGATAAACTGTGAAATACCATGGAGAACCTGGAGGATTATTGGAGAAACGATAGAAGAACAGTCTGTACTTGGAAGAAAAACAAAACAAATTTTGAGCAGTTTTTTTTTTTTTTTTTTTTTTTTTGCTTAGTTGTGAGTTTTCTGCATGTCGAGAAGTAATTTTCCACAACTGAATCCTATGGCGGTGTGGAAGGAAACACAGTGGTTAAGACCATTTAAGACTTTGTACTAAGAATGTTGTTTCAACGGTTGCAGAAAAACCTATGAAAAGTTTATAAAGCTAATTTCAGGCTGCTTGCCGAGCTTTCAACATTTCCCAAGCTTCTCTACGGATGAGAAAGACTCAGGCATTTTCTTTTGTTGCTTTTAAGCTCAAATCAACTGCTATAGACAAGTTGAACACCTTGGATTAGGCCTTCCCATAATTAGATCCGCAATTATTATTGAAATAAACAGAAAGAAGAACTGTTCATTTTCTCCCTGATCTCTTAGTGCGTGTGGTTTGAAGGCCGCTGTCTAGCTTAATCTCCTACAGTGTCAGTTTATTTCGTGCGCCTGCTCTACAGCTCTGCTGCTGATGTCGCTGCCAGCTCTTTGGTGCCGAGTTCAGTGCAGACACAAGCCCACTGAGCCCAGAGCCGGGTGTGATTCTTCTGTGTTTGCTTGATTTTCCACCAAAGTCCAAATGAAATGATTAATGGCAATGAAGGGCCGTGGCTTGTTTCTCAGCCCACAGGCTTCAGGGTCTGATTAAGTTGTTTGCGCAGACTAAACGGGAATGGGTGTGTAGGCGAACGCAGAGTTTGCAAATGGAATATGATGAACAGAAAGTGTCCTTGTTAATGTGGATTTCACTCTTACGTAATAGCGAAGCAAACCTGGATTAGTTTTGTCCTCTGCTATTCCCCAGATCACATTTTTAAGCTTTCTCTGCATGCGTCAACAAGAAACAACAACAACAAAAAAAAAATTGCTCTGTCATATTCCACCGTGGGTAAAATATGAACACCGCCAAACAACAAATATGACTTTACTGCAAGCTGCAATGCAACCAGACAAGCAGCTGTAGCTAAAACGGTGAAATAAGTTAACTCTGCTTCTGACAGATAGAAACTAGTCTCAGAGTGCCTTCAACTCAAGCAAATACAGCTAACAAGCATTAATAAAAAAATAGTTTCTAAAGTATATTTTTGAAACGTACCAGCACAAAACCCACTATAATCTTTACTTTTAAGTATTCAGATGTTCTACATTTAACATTGTATATTTGTTCTACCTTACTAAGCATGAAAGAAACACTTGTTCACTGCACGATCGATTATTTACATTGAAGACTGGGCTAATTAAATCACACGTTTTTTTTGACAAGAAATCCGAGGAAACTGATACTGATCTGTTTTGTCAGTCAATCACATAAAGTACTTTGAAGACAGATAAAAAGGAAAAAAAAATAATACTAACAGGAAATACTGGGAGTCAGTTTCTTAATACCTAGCAGTTGCTGTTAAGGATGTACTAAATGGTTTCCAGAAAGAATCTTAGGGGCTGGAAAAAAGTCCACTTGCATATAAATATCCTAGTTATATAAAGGCATTTCTGTGGTGACAATAAAGCCTATTTTGGTCTCAGAACAGCAGAATGGTCTTTAATTTAGACTCCTCAAAATTAAATCCATAGATTTATTGCAACGTTCTAAAGGTTCATCATTGGCAGAGGGCTGATGAGAAATACCTCTGAGCACCTGTTCTCAAAAAAAAAAAAAAAAAAACATCTTGTGAATGGGCTTTAGTACCTGATCACGTCACACTCCCTCCTCTTTTGCTGCACCACTATTTGCTCACCTTCCCATATGAAAGTCCCCCTAAGCCGGGTCGTCCAGGCAGCAGATGTTACGCTGGGCCGTTCAGGCCGAAAGGCTTGATCCGAGATGATTGGGCGTAATTATAGGCTGTAAGCTGATAGTGATGGAATAGGGAGTCCATTGAGATGTCAGTCCTCCTGGTGTTTCCGAATGCAGCCAGCCACTATAACGGCTGCAGCCTGCACAACCCTGCAGGCTGATAAAATGAGGAGAGGCAAGAGATTTTAACAGGAGCACCAGGAGAAGTGAACTAGGTTAAACAGTGACAGGCTAGTGTAGATTGGGGACAACATCACAGCACATATCTGTGTATCGTAACAGATAGGTTCCTTCTTTCCACCATTCCTTCATTCCTTTTTCCATACCTCCTTCCGTTCTTCTGTCCTTCTTTCACGTAGTTCTCTACAAGGCTGGACAACAGAAATTCTAAATCATTATATAAACATATGTTGCATTTTTTTTTCCTTTTTTCAAGGATTTTGCATCTAGTTTAGCTTAAAGTAAAATGGTTGCTGCTACATCTTTCAGTTTTTGCTTTTCACATACATTAACTCATTGTGGGCTCTTTGAGAAACCTATAGTCCCAGATTTAAAAAAAAAAAAAGAATGTCCATTTATGTTTTTAGTTCATGATTTCAGATCTAATTATTATGACACGAATACCATTTCAAATTGTCCAAAAATCAAATGAGATTACTTTTATATAGAGATCTTACACTGAATGTTAGGGACTGGGTTTTAGTTTCGAACTGTAGGAGGTATTTCTGATCTCCGTCTAAACAAGTGCAATACAACTAAACTTGCTGAACATTTTTTTTTATTTACCTTCCAATTCTTAAACCTTTGAGTAAAACATGTTTCTGTTTGCTGTAGCCTAGCACAAACAAGCCCTCAATGTACTTCATACGCATCAGATTTGCCACCGGTGCAAATGAATCACCGTCTTTCTGAACTCCAAAGAAAATGTTGTTTTCCAAATGACTTTACGTACTCGAGGAGCGTGGAAGAGGAACAGAGAGACTGGGAGGCGAAGGGAAAACAAGCAAGAAATGTTGGAGAGAAGAGCAGAAAAAAAAAATCAGAGCGGCCTGGCTGTATGTTGGACGGCACCTAATTGTCTACTGCAGCATGTAATGACAAGCTTACTTTGCATCAATCTTTCATTATTAGGAGCTATTTTTGTCTCCACGCAGGAGGCAAACAGATTCATCCTCTGCGTGGGGCTGAATGAGGAAGGCAGCGGCGGTCTGTTCACCTACAGGAACAGGAAGGACAGGAGGTAAACGTGATTTCATTTAAACCTGTGCCACGAAATGAAGACGGGCTGCATTTTCAGGTAAAAACATTTGTTCATATATAAGAAATAGTCTTGTAAAAAATCACTCAGACAATAAAATCAAAGAGATATTGAAATGTTTACCATGATGAATGAGAATAGGTTGTTGGTAATAAATCTTTCCATTTAAATTCTTTATCTGGTTGTCTTTTTTTTACTCAACACACATTATAAAAGTAACCTACTGAGTGTATTTGAAGGTTTGCTTATCATTTTCCCTTTGAGAACACTGCCCCCTACCTATAAACAATATATAGTGACTCAGTTAATCTACGGCTTCTAAACATAAAATAGCATCTAAAAGAAGCTCATGTGAATCTTTTAATTAAAATCTTGTGGAATTTGTTTGTTCTTTTTTTTCTTGCTATTGTTGCCGGGGGTTTTTTTGTTTTTGTTTTGTTTTTTTTGCTCTGCATTACGTTGTGCATTGCTTTGGCTCATCAATAAACTATTAGGATGAATCAGTGAAACAGTAAAATTCCTGTGAATGGCTGAGAATGGGAGAGCTGGGCTCTGTGCCAGGGATCAGGACTCGGGGAAATGCAGAGGGAGAAAGAGAAGAGAGGCGTCTGTGTGGTTTTGACTCATCTCTGTGCTCCTAATAACCCCACTGGATAAAATATGCGCTGAGTGGAGATGATTACCTCTTTATCGCTGCTCTCTATACTTATCCCCCCCCACCGGCCTTCCTCTCTGCAGGTTGTAGCTCCTCTCCGGCTCTCATCCTCTCTTGAACGAATAAGCCTCAGCCTCAGTGATCCTGTTCGCTCCTCAACCGTCTTGAAGCGATTAGCTCTGCGAGCTCGTGCGGCTTCGCTTAGACACTTTCTTAACTTCTAATGGCAAAGCGCATCAGATGCCACGAAAGTTTGCATTGAAAAGAAAGAGACAGACGGAAAGAAAACAAGTTAAACTTTCTGTAACTTTCTGTAAGATCAAAGCATAAAATTTAAGACAATGACAGCAATGACTCAGTGCAGCTGTCTCTCTTCTACATCACTGTGGATACATCTTGGCCCAATCATTTTTCACGTCTAGCCCCAGAAGACGTATGTGGACATACAGACATTAAGGCATCCCTTTTCAATTAAATGTTTAACCCACTTTAATGGAACCTTGTTTTTATAACAATCCTGCGTTGGGGTTTTTCAGACTTCCGTAAAGTGCCATGCAGCCGAACTGTGATGTCCCTGATGCATGCGCAGATCATCGGGGCAGAGCCTGTTTTCCCAGCTGTCTTTGGCACGCCAGGCATGAAGGAACGAGCAAGGAGTGACGGATCCGTGTCCCTGAGGATTAGCATGCTGAAGACATCCTGGTGTTGAGCGGGATCGGATTTACAAAGCACTTTGCTGATAATGACGCTGCTCTTTAAGGCTGCAGACTACGGAGGTAGACATGCAGGACCAGAACCTTTTGAGAAGGTTTAAACTGGAAACCACCTGCTTCCTCCTAAAACAACTTGTCCGGCTTTTTATTGTTTTTCTCCTCACTGACATATGCTCACTTGGGAAAGATTCTGATCGTGTTCAATGTTTGGAAGCCTAAATCTGATATTGTGCCTTGCATTTCGTTTCGTTTTGCAGTTTAGTTTTGCAAGCCCACAGCAGTTCTTGTCTAGACATCTCAATCTGCAAAGATGCGGAGGCTGCCAGTAAGAGATGTTCATCTGCTACATTTATCTCTACGGGCATCAAAGGCCCCCTGACAGCAGCCTCCGTCACGCCACAGGTGGAGGATATGCTGTGAAAATGGCACTATTGTCCACCCTTCGTACCATCTGCCTCACTTTCTCCAGCGCCACCTCGCCTCCCCACTCTCTCTTCTCTACTACAAAGGATTGTCACCTCATAATGAACCCTGAGGGTGATTTAAAGTCCTGTTGGTATTGCAATGACCAGAGACTGCAGGAATGATGGCAGCTTGTTGTGCTTTGTGCACAGATGGGATTTTTGTTTTTCACTAAAATAATCAGTGACAAAGGGCTCCTGCACAGTCTGGAAAAGTGGAGTATTTTCCAGTTATGGATAGGTTATGGAGAAAGAAAACAGAGCATGAAAATATGTCTGTCCCATTGTTTTAGTGTGTTGTTTCTTCCTCCCTTTTTTATGTCCTTCCTTTTTCCATTCACCTGCTTGTGTCCCATCTTCCTTCATCCCTAGCGTCCTTCCATCTGCTACACCTCCATGTCTTTCCTTGTTTTCTTTCTTTCAACCTTTGGTGTTTTTTTTGGTGTTTTTTTTCTTTTCTTCCTTACTTTCTCTTCTGTTTGTCCTTGCTGATGTTCTTCTCTCATATCTCATTTTAATTCTTCCTTTTTATGAATTTCTGCACTTTTGTTTCTTCTTTCTTTTCCTTAATCATGTCCTTCTTTCTCTTCTTCCCTTCCTTGTATGCTACCTCCATGTCTTTCTTGTATACTTCCTTTTGTCCTTCTTTTCCAGTACTTCTTTCCTTCCTTTTGTCATTCTTTAATTGCACAGTTCCTCGTGTCCTTTTCCCTTCTATTCATCCTTAATACCCCATCTTCTTCTGTCCTTCCACCAAGTTCCTGTTTTGTTTTCTTGAGTTACTAGCAATACATAAATTTTGCCAACAGTAATTTTATAATAAACTTTCAATTTTATACTTTAACACGGCAACTGGAAAGCTCCATGTGGAAAACTTTATAAATATGACAGGAGAAAGGTGTAGGGACCTCAAGTAATATTGAGTAAGCTGTGCAGTGTGTGTGTGTGTGTGTGTGTGTGTGTGTGTGTGCTGCAACAGATAGTTGTTTGGCTCCTTTCAGTCACTAATTGTCTTCTGAAGTCTGTCGATGAGTATTTTCTGAAAAGCGAAGCGAAGGTTTAATATTCTGCACCACTGGAGTGGATAATGAAAATATCAATAACAATGTCTTTAAAAAAACATGCAGGTATACAGTATTGGGCACAGAGAAACCTTTTGCAGTGATAGGAAGTGAACATGACTTCTGTTCTGGATGATCGTGTCGACTCTTGCGGCCCAAAGCCGCCCCGTGACTCAGCGCTCTCCGTGTGAGCCGTTTGTGAAAACGCTCCGTTCAGTGTGAAGCCAAAGCGATTGTGTCTGCCTGCCTCACTTGGCTCTTTTCATCTCTCCATGCTGTCATTACGGTCGGTCACGGGGGTGAAGGGCACCAATTGGGGCAAAGCATGCTGGGATACATGCACTGTGGGTCGTTCTCCCACTGGTGCTCTGAGCCCTTGAGGTTAGATGGTACGTGTTGCTAGGGTACGCTGGCAGCTGCTTCAGCTTTGCATAGTAACCAACGTAAAGGAGAATTAGTTCCGGTCACACCCATGTAGGATGTTTATCACCTCTTGCATTGTAATTCTTCATCTGTATTCACAAAGATGGTTCCTGGGGGTAATAATTTAACACTGTCTGGATTAAATTGTTTTCATACTTACAGGATTCTACGAAAGTTTACACCTCCTCATATTTCTTTTTTTAAATTTTGACAACAAGCACTCAGACTTTCATTTATTGTCTTAACGTGATTCAATTTTGACTGTTGCGGTCTGAAAAGTTAGGACTATGAACTGGGACAAGTGCTATTGGTGAATGCTGAGTGTTGGTAGTTGGTTTGTTATCAAATAACAAACCAACACAAAGTAGTACTTCATTGTGAATTGTTAAAAGGAAAATGATTAAGAGCTTAAAATTTGCGCAGGGCACAAGGATGTTTACTTCCACGCTTTTTCTGATACCCCTAAATGAAATGCAACGTCACTAATTGCCCTCAAAAGTCCCCTAAAAAGTGAATGAAGCTCAGAGATCTGTAATTAAATGCCAGTATAAATATGGGTGTTCTGTAAAGACCTTAGAGGTCTGTTAGAGAACATTATTTAGCACAAAAGAGTGTTGTCAGCGTGACCTGACCTGGTATATTCAGGTCAGGTCATTGGGGAAAAAATGTTTTTGGTTTCTGAGCATCCACTGATCACTAACCAATTCCTCTGTGCATCTCCGTCTAAAACCATAAAATATATCTTTGACTAGAAGATCTACTCCTTCAGTCAACACTGTTGGCCAAAAGCAGAAGTGTGTGACTTATTACAATAAAAAATTATAGAGAAGATTAAACTGAGACAAATGAAATAAAATACTCAGAAAGATTAAACAAGTCAGAAACGCTTGGGCATGCAAGAAGTTTAGTACCATTCTGCCAGAGCCATTTGCTGTTGTAAATTTCTACCCCTTTTTTTTTTTTTACTCTAGAAGAAAACAATGGTTTGACAAAACTTCAATGGCAGTTACAATTAAAGTCCAAACTTGCCTTTTTTATAAGAATTGGGGGGAAGCAAACTTTTAAGGCAGTTGAGGCCAAAAAATTGCACTTATCAGTTCATTATCTAATGTAAAGTGCACAATATATAAGTAATCCCAATAAAATATTTATGTACGTAGACACAAATCTCAAACGGAAAAATGATGGATACGTTACCCTCACATAGGGATGAAAAACTTTATGTTAAGGAATCTTGAAGACGTTCCCATTTTTCAACACTTATTCCTATTGTCCTGTAGATAAGACTATTTTAATTATCAGAGCAGTAGAAGTTCTGTTTTCACAAGAATGGTTTTCAAAATAATCCAAAAAAAAATATTACAACTAAGAAACACCAACCTCAATTTTAGAAAATGAAATATCTCAGAAAAGCTCTGAGGGAAAAGCCAATAGACAGTAACGTTGCTTGTCGACTGGCCTTTATGGACATAAAGTGATCTTGTCTCCACTACAAACCGAGGTTTGTAGAGTGAAGCTGAGAAAAATATATAAAATGGTGCATCATGTACTACACTAGCCAGCTCATCAGGCATACGGTCTCAGCTGGCATGGAGGCAATATGAAACACATAAACCCTTCCAATATTAATGACTCTGTCGAGCTGAAAGCCTCTGATGCTATTCAGAGATAGGCGTTAAATGTCCCTGAGTACTGAGAACACAACATTATGTGCATTCATATAAATATCCTCTCATCTCTGCGCAAGACGGCCTGTCCTTGAGTTCCCATGAAAATAATAAGAGGTGGGCCTCCTGTAACTCAATACCCAGATATTGCCTGCACTGGTGGCGCCGAGAGATGAAATGAAACCAGAACAAGGTGATGACAATGATGCCACTTGTGGTCGAGCTGCAGACTTGAGGATTCATTCCCTTTGTATTTCAGCTCCCCTCTAATTTCCTATTCTTGTTGTGAGCCTCTTTTTGGTGATTGTTTTAAGTATTGTAATGGTTGTGATAATCAAACATAGTTGCAAATTGGTCTAAAAGCAATAGAACCAAGACAAAGTAAGGGGTTACAGCATATCCACTTATAAGGCCCATAAATTATATAAAAAATACAATTACTCTACAATGAGTTTCATCTTCTCCCAAACACTACTTATTCATTTAATGTGAAGTAGAAATTCACATTGTACAGATTCAAATTGTAGATCTCCGAGTAAGACTCTGATGGTATGAGACTGAGTCTTGCTTTTATGAGACAGAAGGATTTTTGCCTCTGTCTTTTCATGTGTTCTTACTTTTCTCAAACAGATGAAGGATCCAAGGAATTAAGCAGTTTATTTTATGCAAGAGTTGCCTTTGAAGACATTATGAGCCATTCCCAACAGCCAGGGATCTAATCAGGTTGTGAGGCGAGCCAAGAGGCTGTCATCTCTGGGGGGGTCCCCAACTGTCCCTCAGTGCTCGGATCTGTCACACACCTGTCACTGTCCTTTATAGAGGCAAAGAGACAGCTCCCACTCTGGATCTTTGCTGATGAGACCAGTTATCAGCCCCTCAAGCGCCACTTCAATAACAACGCTAGTGTCAGGTTCCCTCTTCAGCAACACACTACACATGGATGGGGGGCAATCAAAGGCCACTCTTAAACATTCGGGAAGATTGCCCCGACTTTAACCCTCTCCTGTCCTGCTCCCAGGAGCCTGGAAACCCACAGCAGGCCAGTGTCCGATTTCTCTGCTAGTTTACCCTCTGAACTGTGTGGACGGATGGAGGAGCAGCTTAACCTCTTAGTGAGACCTCCAGGGAGAGGTAGCATTGGAGCTGGAAGGGCCCAAGAGATGGCTGATTTCATTATGTGGATGTTAGAAGTTGCCCTTTGTTGCCTGACTGTCCCTGTTGTTTACTGTGCAGGAATTCCCATTAAATGCTGTTAATGACTAATGTCAAGTTTAAGTATGGCTTGTTAAAACACTTACAGAAACACCAAGTAGTTGTAAACATAATTAAGAAAAACAGCATAGAGTTTAAAAATCGACAAAAAAAAAGTTGCATGGAATTCTCACTTTTATTTTGTCCAGTATTTTTTTAATGGAAACCTATTTCATCTGAAATTTGTTCTATATAGCCAGAACATAGCCTTTGACCTTCTTGTGAGCACCTGCTATAGTACAAATACCTAAGCACATGTTGCAGACTTTGCTATTCAGCATCAACTGTGAACTCAAAAGACACAATTTGTGCTTTATTTAACATGAACTGAATATAGCTCTGCCGTGACTACTCAGGAAACTGTAAACATTTCAGGAAAAATAAACAAGTAATAAGTGGAACCAGTACACAAATCATCAAAAAAAAATTACAAAGCAAACTTCCGAAATTCCTTAAAAAAAAAATAAAATAAAAAATCAACATGTCCTTCAAATCAAATCAGCAATTTTCAAATATCAGGACCCACAGTCCTTCATGACTTAAACGTGTTCATGCTCCAGCACACCAGATTCAAATGACTGCATTTCCTCCTCATCAGCTTATCAAGTGATCCTGAAGCCCATTCATCTAAATCATGTGTGGCAGGAAGGAAACGCCTAAAACATGCAGGACAGTGGGTTCTGATGACCAGGATTGGGAATGATTGCTTTACATCATACAAGTGAAGTGATCATAATTAAAGATATGGTCTTAAATCAAAAGTTCAGTTTTTATAACCCTTTTCTGATTTATCTCAACAAAAATACTCCATGTGAATGTGAGTGGTTCAGTCTCTGCCTCAAGCAAAAGAGCTAAGGTAACTCTGGAGGATATAATGCAGGTACTGCTACAGCCTATCGTGAAGGAAGAGCTGAGACAAAATGCAAGCCTTTCAATTTAATGGTGTATACCCCGACTCCTATGACCTTGGATATAACCTTGGTTCAAGTAGAGCTGCTTCTTTGCTGCATCAATAGGAGTCAGTAGAGGTGTTTGGGCATTTTATCAGGATCAGGGTGGCTGGCTTTGGGGCTTTTATGGACACATCCCACTGGGATGGAGCGCAGGTTAGAGCCAGAACTCACTGGAGGGACTATAAATGACATTTATGTTTTACCCTTAAGTTACAGTATATTACTACATGCTAAAATTCTACTTTTAAACAAAGTTTGCAAAAATTAATTCAGATTGGGTCATAAAAATAAGTGGCTGCCGTTGCCCAGGAAGCGATGCCATGGTCAATCATCATCACCCCTTCACTTTGCCAGTAAAACTTATTGGGCACCAAACATAACATTCTCCAACACTGTTAGGTCAGATTTTCCACAGCATAGGGAGAAAGATTTCCAAAACTCAGTCTTGAACTGGTTTTCTCTGTAAATTGAGACTTAAGAGAAGGAATTATTCAGAGGTGTTATATTTACTCTGGAATCTTCACTCCTGACTTTTAAAGACATATTCATCGGTGCGGTAAACTCAAGACAGGTTGCAAATTTTGGATTAAATTCTTGTGCGGCTCCGAAACACTCCTACCTCAGGTCTCCTTTACATGGTAGTGCCACTTACAGAGGCAATGAATACAACCCGTGTCCCATGAACCATAAAACCCCATGTCTAGGACATTTGCCATTTTGAGGTGAAGGCGATGGCCAAGGCAAACATCAGAACTACTCTCAACATCAGCCATACGGAAACAGCTGTAGCTGAAAATGTCATACAATGTTTTCTCTTCAGTGCAGGAACAAATTATTTAAGATTTAAGGTTTTGGATTCAGATCACTTCACTGTAAGATTATCCATTCATACCTTCTGCTACCTAACGGGCCATGTAGCTCATATAAGATAAAGTATCCTGACAAAAGAACTTATGAATTGTTGTAAGAAGTACCTCAATGTACTTCGTTTGGATTTTTGTTTAATATACAGTATCAACTGAGTATAAATGTAAAGGTAAATTTTTAGACAGGATGATCCTTTTACAAATACATATCTGAGAAATGTGCAACTCTTTGCAAGTCCTCCAGAGTTGCCATGGCCCTATTGACTTCTTTTCTGATTAATACTCTCCTTTCTAGGCCTGTCAGTTCCTGCCTTGATGAAGATGCAGATGTTTTTGTGAAATTTTCTTTCCATGTTCAGACAGTGAACTCAACAAAACCGTTACATTTTCAAAGTTTAGGATACTAACTTAACCCTGCCCTTCACTGACAGCAGATGATTGCACTGTATTTTATTCATGGAGGTCAAGGTACAGCGGTTCAAAATTAAATTTATCATTTTGAAAAGTATGCATAGCTTTCCTTTGGCTTCACGATTATGTATTACTTTATACTGTTCTATCACATAAACTCCCAATAAAATACATTGTGACAATATATTTAAAAAAAAAACAGTACAAGGTTTCTCAATACTTTTACAATTCATTGTGTTCTTTAATTTTAGTTACATTTCAGCCACAACTGGATGCTAATTTAAAAGTATTTTCCTTATGTTGTCTTTAAAGTTTTCTTCTCTTTAAGTTTGGCTTCTTTACCAGAGGACAGTCAGATTCAATTAGCCTTAATCTGTTCTGTGCTGAGAGCAGCACTCCCTCGTGTTTTGCTCATTTTTTCACATCTGACTTCGTGTTCTGTCTTTTCCAAGCTGTCTATGTGTGCATCTTTTTATGCGTGTGATGCATAAGGGAAGTGCTCCATTCACACTCTGTGAACTCCACTCCTTCTCAAAGAGTGCTTTCACTAATAAACTATAAGTGTGTCTTAGTCATAATTCATAACTCATTTACAGCCTGTCTCATAAGATCGGGACAACTCAAAATTTATGACTGGGCATTATTCTTATTAGGCTTGTAAAAGTAGGCATTAGCCCACACCAGTCATTTGTAAAATTCACTTTACCTAACAAGGAGCAGACTGGGGTTGAAAGAACAGCTAAACTCAATCAGAGCTCCGCAAGGTGATGGCAACATGCCCATCTTTATAACTAGTATGAAAAGCTTGAATATGAATATGGTATCTGAGCTCCAGAGGGGCAAGGGATTCATTTCGGGAAGGAATCCCCGCATATAAATTTGATGTTTCTGATTGACAATATGAACAGCTGATTGCGTGAGAAGTATAAGACAACCAGCAGCACATGTCTGCATGTCAATTCAAACCCAATCCCACCTGCCAGTCATGATAAACGATGTGGGACGAAATAAAATAAACAAAACCGAGTGCACCTAAATCCTACACTTGAATGGCCTGTTTGGATCCTGATTCTGCACGGCAGCTTTACAAAAGCTAACTGTCCCAGAATTTATGGGGGGAGGGGGGGGACGCAAGGACCAAAGAGAAGTAGAGAGAATACAGTCATGTGTTTCATGCTTTTCTCTATTCTTTTTTTATTTCTCCTGTAGGACATGCTTCTCGCATGACCAGATAGTGTTCAGCTACTGTCAGACAGCTGGGTCAAGCTCTGGTCATGCAGAGGCGGGAGGAGCGTCAGGCACAGGAACTGGTTTGCATCCAGCAGCTGCTGTAATTCTGAATTTGATGGGTGAATGGGGGTAAGCCATCCTTTTGCATAACCCAGTGGTTCCCAAATTTTTTCTTCTGCGCCCCCCCAGTGGTTTCCAAACATTTTCTGCGGCCCCCCCTATGGATTACAAATGGCTGTCTGGTTGAAACGACGCATTAAGGGGGGCATCGACTTTTTTGGGGGCAAAATGAATGTACGTAGCTGAAAATAGACACCAACATCGGTAGCCCTCAAGGTACTTGTTAAGCTTAAGGTTCTGTATTGATATTAGCTAGTCATCTTTTAGCTAACATTGCATCCAACAGCTTTACTCAACTCAGTCGGTTAGTTTGGAGGGAAAAACTGAAAAGTTCTTTGCGTTTTGCTGGTTTGCTGCCGTGATTCTAACATAAACCTACGTCGCTCCGCACAGCAGCAGCAGGTCTCCTTCACAGGTGTAAACCCAGCGCGAGCGTCGTAGCGCTCATGTTGCGTTTAAAGGCGGCTCGGAAAAACAGGTTACAACATGTTAACAACGGATTAAACAGTTTTAACTGCTGATAAAAGTGACAGAGGACACAAATATGGGAAGTGTGGAAGCCTCTACTGTATCAAATTGACATAGGAATAACAGAAAGTTGGCTAATCTAAGGTAAAAACCCAGCGCTTACAGTGTTTTTTTCATCCAGACGGCTTCCCCTCCCCACCCCGCCTGCAGTGACACGGTGCCAGTAAAGTGCGTCAGTAAAGTTCATGCACACACGCATACATACGTATGCACACAATAAAAGTATGATTCATAACTTACTTTTTGGTTTCAGCTCAAACTGGCGCGGTTCGTTGTGGGTGCACACACGGTGTTCCTGCCCCAGTTGTCAAGTTCATCCTAGCTTGTAGTTTCCAGAGACATTTTCCCGGTCCGGATATTCAAGCCGAGCTATTTCCGGATTGAAGGGCACCGCGAGGGAAACACGTGATGACGTAATAATTACATCAACAGGACGTTGTATTAATTGACATTTATTATTGTTATTCGGTTTCTTTTTTCAGTGTTCTGATTTTGTTTTTGTTTTTTTGTATGTGTTAACAGTTTACTTGAGTTAGAAGTAATAGGGTTTTTATTTCTTAATCGTTTTTGTCCTCTTATGGGCGGAGCCTGTGAAAAATGTTGCGAATGCCCTGCATTTTATTCAAATTTAATTCAAAATTAAATTTTTTTATTGACCCCAAAGGGAAATTAAATCCAAAGTGAAATTAAATAACATGACGTAGTCAAGTGTTAATTATTGTACATAAAATAAAATTGTCTAATCAGTATTTTTATTTTTTTTTTTGCCATTCATCTGTTAAAGTTTTATAAAAGTCCTTTAAATTCAGAGCAACTGCAGTCATCCACATCATCAGTTTCCCGTCGAGTGAATATGGTGACAGTATAGGCACTGAAAAATAGTCTCTGTACACGTCCCCCAGGCTGAAAAACAGCATTAGGGAATAAGAATAGCATCCCACTCACACCACCGTCAGATCCACTAAGAATAGAATTTACATCTGTTGTTATTTTACTCCACGTCTGCATTAAATCGAAGCATTAGAGCGTCATTAAATTCCTCTGCTCGTGCTTTAAGCGTAAATATTTTTCTGAAGAAAACACAGAATTAAGGCAGAATTTCTGCTGTGCTGTGATGTGTTTTCCCACTGACAGTTTCTTCTTTGGTGAGACGTTAGTCCATCATCTCCAGCGGGATCCGACTTCAGATCTCCTCATTGATCCCACACAAAACAAATGGCGGTCTCTGACAGCGGGACACAATGCTTCATCCTGCCCCATCCATTAACCCCTATCACACAGCTCCCACTCTGATGATGGAACACACTGATGTCCCATTGATAGACAGGAAGACTGAGCAAAATAAGCGAAGGGGTAAAGAGAGGGAACTAGACTCTATATAGGGAGCAAAAACAGGAGGAAGACAAATTACTGTGCCACCTAAGAGGAAAAAAAAAGAAACATAAAAAGTTATAAATGTTAAACTACTGAAATCCCATTAGATTTTTGTTGAGTTTAGCAAGCCAGAGTCCTGAAACACAGCTGTCATGGGTTAAACTGGGTTTGTAATGAGGCTCTAAATTCACCATTGTTTTCCTGGCTTACTGGAGCCACCACATACGCCAGCAGATTGAGGAGAAGTCGGGGGGTCTTCATTAAAGCCAAACCACAGCGTGAGGAGGCATCCCTCTCCCTGCTCTCTGTGGGCAACACTGGCTTTGTCAGCCATTCTTTGTAATTAGCACAGACCTCGTCCCTCCTCCTCCCCCTCCTTTCAAAATTAACAGCAACAGGAAGCGTGCTGCAACCCAATCTCCTGTCTTACCTTGGCAATAAGCTTTGGGAACCTGGGTGAGTCACATCTGACGTGTGAATGACAACGTAAGGGGTGAAACGCTGTTGTGCTTGGGCACACAAAATAATTTGCACAGCCTTTAATATTGTTTTGTTGGCTGGAATTCATCACCTTGTGGACAATAAATAAGTCGAGACTAAAATCAAACAAAAGATTTACAGACCTTTGGAAAGTCTGGAGAACTATCGATCAGCACAAGTTTACTGAGTTTCAACAAAGTCTGACTGTAAAAAAAAAAAGAAAGAAAAGAAAATGAGGAAAAACTCAATATTTCTACTTTAGACAGAAAATAATACTATCAGTGACCTTGAGAATTTTTCTATATTATGTAAAATATTCAAGTGATCGCATTTATTCAGGTGCAAAAATATATCAAATTTTGATGGACGAATAGTTATATTTTAACCTGGATATTCTTCGATATGGGCTACTGTGAGGGTGCTGAAAAGCATTTCCCTCACTAAGGTGAAGAAGTTTATTTCGTCATACTTTTATTTTGAAGACCACTAACATCTCTGTCTTTGTAGTCCACTTCCCATAAATGAAATTCATGGAGTGTCTGAATGATGAAAGCCTAAAGACTTCACCTGGAGGGACCATCTAATTGAGGCAGAACATTTGCTAAAGATGAGGGTGGAAGTGGACTGAAGCATTAGTTTGATTTGACTTTGTTTGTTTTGTGTATGATTTGATCAGTATTAGTTTGCAGTCAGATGTATGTTGTGTATGTTAAATACTTTTACTGGCACAGCGTAAAACTTTATTTGTACATGCAACGATCAGATGAAAACCCCAAGATTCTGGATTCCTATTTGTTTGAACAAGAAATTAAAATGCAACTTTAATGCAAAAACAACTGAGTGTTTCCTTTGCAAAACCAACAAAACACCACGGAAAAGGATAAATCCCTATGCAACACGGTTGTTATAAACCAACTGCAAAATTGCTTCCACATTGCACGAGTCAATTTTTGTTGCTAATTTTATTGCGCTAGCATAACATTTGGTTGTCAAGGAGATGTTCTCATGAAAAAGAAGCAACGAGTGCCATTCTCCAATGGTGCAGCAACCATCGACTGGCAGTGTTTTATTCCTTGGAAAAAGGACGTAAGATGATCATGGCGCGTAGCTAGTTATTGTATCTGCTCAAACTTCTTGATAGAAAGGGTGCACAACTCTCGCACAGACAAAATATTTACATTTTGCAAACGCAAGGAACTTCTCCTGCTGCAAATATTTTGACAGATCAGCTCTGACGCTGAAAGAAAGCTTCTGTTCTCCGTGCTTCGGTTTCCTTATTATTAAAAGGTTGAACTCGGGTTTTTTAGGGTGTCACAACAAGCTGAGGTCAGCCCATGTCAGGAGTTTGTGGTCCCCTTGTTAGTCTATTACAGATCTGTTGGCAGGTTAAATAGCTTCCAGCTGCACAGAGAAACCTGTGACCTGCAGCTCGGGGTCATGTAGTAGTCGAGGGTTTGGCAGCAGGGAGGCGGAGTGGTACTTAAAGGATGTTTCTTGTCTCAGAAGCCAAGACTTGCACAAGATGCCTATGATAATATAGATTCCCCCCTGAATTATCCCAAGGGGTGGATATGTTTATTTTCAGCTGACGATTGCGAACAAATGTCTCTAAACAAGTGTGTGCTGACAAGTGAAGACAAGATGAAGGAGTCATGCATTTTCAGCATGCGTCTCCTGGTTTGATGTGGTTGAGATGGGCTGCGATCGGCTAATGATTGGGACACCTGAGAGTGTGATGCCTCTGGATGCATCAGAGGCCAAAAATTCCCAAAGAGACATCTTTGTTAGCACAGGGTGGGAGTGTTTTATGTCCACCAGGTCAATCTTCACACTTTGGCTGTCCTTCCTTGCTGCCAACAAAGCATTCACTCCAGGTTCCCTCCGCTCAATCTTCTCTCTCTTCTAACAAGACTGTGATTGGATGATATTTTTAACCTGTTTGTCCAAAGGTCCTTGGCAAATTGAGGAAATAAAAAAAGAGAGATGTCTCAGAAGAAAGATGAGCCGTCATCGAAACACATTTGTGTCAGGCAGTGTGCTATGTGTTGCAGTAATCTATGGGAGCAGTTATGTCTGAGACATGAAGGGGCATTCATCACATTCCTCCTCCGTCTGTGGCAGCAGAAGAATTTCAATGTGACACTGGGGCAATACATCACGGCGGACGTCCCTGCACGGCACGGCGAGGCGCTTTCAACACATCCGCCTCTCGTTTTCAGGCTCCAAGGTGCTGGCATCAGGCTTCACCAACACCGTCTTCTTCAATTCTAAAACGTGTCAACAGAGCTCTGGCTCAAGAACCGGTCTGAGACGAAGAAAAACACTCTTTTAAGGCTGTAAAATTAGAGTGTACTTTAATTTTAACCCCTTAACCTGCAGTGGAACGCCAGCGGAGCCGTTTTCCATTGTATTTTGCAGGGGTGCGGGTTAAGGGGTTTTAAGGAAAGAAACAGACACGGGGGACAACGTACATACGTGTCGAACTGCCATCGTCTAGACAACATGAAATAAGGCAGTAGTGAGCCAGGTAAATATTAACCATAGCTACAAAACACAAACTCTTTCTGTGGTACCCACAGGCTGGAAAAGTACTACTTGTAATACTTTAAATGTCACAAAGTCAATTTCCAACATATTGAAGGTTTTTTTTTTTTTCTTTCTTTTTATGACAGCCCAGAGACTCTGGGCTTTTTAGTTGAAATGGACCTCCTTCACTAACAAACCACAATCTGTTTTATGTTTGTTTATTCTCCATTAGTCACTATAAAGCTGTCGATGGCTTTCGTTTTTCTGCTAATGCACTGTAATATACAGTCAGAAAAGATGTCTGTTATTAAGCAAGTGGAGCACAAATGGTGATGGCAGCTTGAGCGAGACCAAGTCCCAAAACTGAAATTAATCTCTGGAGGTTTTCTGGAGAAGCTTTGATCAACACAGTCTTAAATAAATCCTTCTTATTTATTTGATTATTGCTATAAATGTATTCTATTAATAATACAAAGTAGGTTGGTCTTTTTTTTATTCTAATAAAGCAATATAAAACTACTTTCAACATTGCTAAGGTTTCCATTAAACTCAGTGTGAAGCACTCTTCCATTCCAAGGAGGTATCTAAGAAATTAGTGATTTTTTAAGTGTTTATTTAAAATCAGCACTGACATTGACCCTTTAGCTCAAGGTCATATGAATTAAGAAGAATTAACCATTAATAAAATCAACAAATACATCTAAAATTAGCATTTGCCTCTTACAAATTTCTTTCAGTGTTTTACGCTTTTATTGTTTCATGTTTCCAATAATCAAATAAATTCCTATATTAAAAAAAAGCGATCTCTTTAAGTCAACATTCAAATTTCTCCAGTTTTCTCCTCCACCCCAGATAAATCTTCACTCTATTAACTCAAACTAGATCTCCAGACTTTGCTAGAAGGATCATTATCAGTGGGAAGCCATTGTCTTATTCACTGATGCCAGAGTTTTGCTTCCCAAGCATA